TACAATGTATTGTGTTATGTATTTTTCTACAGGAGTTTGAAATATAAAAAATACATTAAAATAAAACATACCTTATATACGGTTAGACATCTTCTACGTTGAATAACACATATCTATGAGCAACTTGTAGAAGTTCAAATGAAAGATCAATTGGATGCCCTTTTGAAATAGGACGTCCTTCTAACAACAAACTACTCTCGAATTCTTCATTGCGAGCATTTCTAGAGCCAATATCATCAGCTTTTTTTATATATTTGCTGCATAACAACGCACACTCTTCAACAATGTATCGCTCAGCTATACACCCCTCGGGCCGTGCACGACTTTTAACATACCCTTTTATCACTTTCATATACCTAAGAAAATAAAAGATAAAGGTCAAACTATTTTTTCAATATTTATAATCAATTGTTATGACATCAATTGGCATATATAACATAAGTTACCTTTCAAATGGGTACATCCATCGATATTGTACGGGACCACATAATCTAGCTTCTCTTCCCAAGTCAATGGTTAAATGAATCATAATGTCAAAGAATGAAGGAGGAAAGAACCTCTCTAACATGCATAAAGTCTCAACGATTTCTTCTTCAAGTTTTTCCAATTTGTTTCTATCCACGACTTTCTGACATAATTCATTAAAGAAGACACACAACCTAAAAACTGCAGTTCTTGGTGCCTTAGATAAAAGGTCCTTTAATGCCACCACTGACAATTGTTGCATAAGAACATGACAGTCATGAGACTTAAGACCAATCAATTTGCAATCTGCCAAAGAGACACAATTTGCAATATTTGAACCATAACCATCGGGTAACTTCAGATTGTAAAGTCGTCGGCAAAAAAATTGTTTCTCTGTCTTGGATAATGTGTGAGGTGTTGTGGGTAGGTATAATCTATTTCCTCTCTTCTGAGGATGCAAGTCACGTCTAATTTGCATTTCTTCCAAGTCTTTGCGAGACTTGAGTCCATCTTTTGTTTTTCCCTTCTGGTTCAAAAGTGTACCAAAAATGCTCTCGCAAACATTTTTTTCAACGTGAATGACATCTACGTTATGGCGCACCAACAGACACTACAATAAAACAAATGTAAAAAAAAATTGACTGTCATTGAACTTTATAAACTATATATGATAACATAAAAGAAAATAAATTAAGAATATAAGCATAAAAGATAGCTCTATCTTACCTTCCAATACGGTAGTTCGAAAAAGATGGATTTTTTCTTCCATAAGGAATCTTGTATTGAGTTTGTATCTGCATGTTTTCTTTTTTTCTGTTTTTCCTTATCCATTTTTTCCCAATTATTCGTAACCCCACCTATTTCACGATAAATTTCTTCACATGTAGATATCTTAGGCCGTCTCTTAATTTCATTATGCCCGCTGAACCAACCTTTTTTGAAGCGCAGTCGGTGATTTGGAGCAAGAAATCGTCTATGTCCCATATAGGCAAACTTGCGACTATGTGATAACCAATCTGAACATGTATCTTGACGACAAACAGGACACGCAAATTTTCCTTTGGTAGGCCACCCATATAGGTTTCCGTAAGTTGGGAAGTCATTGATGGTCCACATTAAAATACATTTTAAGTTGAAACTCATCTGGCTAAATGCATCAAATACCTCTATCCCATCTTTCCACAATAGTTTCATATCATCTATAAGCGGAGCCAAGTAAATATCAATATCATTGCTCGGTTGTCTAGGACCTGGAATCAACAAAGTTAACATTAAACTTTCCTTGGACATGCATAACCACGGTGGCAAGTTATATGAAGCTAAAATCACAGGCCAACAACTGTACGAAGAGCGATCTTGGAAAGGATTAAAGCCGTCGGTTGAAAGCCCAAATCTCATGTTATGAGGGTCCGAAGCGAATGATGGCCACCTCCTATTTATCGAATCCCATGCCAATGAATCAACAGGATGTCTTAATTTTCCATCTATACTCTTATTAGTTGAGTGCCATCTTACTTGTTCTGCTATCTCACCTATAGCAAACATTCTTCTCAATCTTGGTATAACTGGAAAATAACGCAGCACTTTTGTGGGAACTCCATTTTTAATTCCAGTTTCATTCTTGCTAACTTTCCATCTCGACGCACCACATTTAGGACATTTGGTTGCGTGCTCAAGATCATTTCTAAATAGACAACAATCATTCGCGCATGCATGTATCTTCTCATAGCGAAGTTCTAATGTCTTGAATATTTTCTTTGTCAAATAAAATGATTCAGGAAGTGTATTATCATCAGGCAACATATCACGGATCATTTGCATCATGCTATCAAAAGCACTATCAGTTATGCTAAATGATGCTTTGAACTTAAACATAGTTATGATCCACTACAAGAAAAATGGTTTTTAACAACTTACATTTAAAAACTTGCAGCCAAGGAAAGTTGTTATATTATATATTTAATAACATGCGTTTAATGAATGTTGTTGTTAGTACTGAAAAAATATATTTAACAACAATCGCATTTTGCACCTTGTTAAAGTAGTTTATCCTATTACTATTAATTAATTTTTTTGTTTCTTTTTAATATCCCCTAATTTTCTTTAATTTTCCCTTTTTTTCTCTATTATTTCTTTTCTTCTTGCCCTGTTCCTCTTTCCATCTCCTCGCGCTAGACAGAAAACCTAAAACTCTCGCTACGACGATTCCCTCTCATCGTGACGGTTCTCTACCTCCTCGTTCCTAAAAGGCCAAATATCACCAAAACAAAATTCATTGAACTCTAGATTTGAAGAAATTTTGGCTGCAATACCAGGAAATCTCTGTCAAGGAATCATAAATAACGTGGTACCATTCTCGCTTCCTGCTCACTTGCCCATCTATTTTGAATCAGGTACAATTATTCACTTCTTGATCAATTTAATTTTACAGTGATGTTTTGGCGGAATACTTTTGTTCTTCTGATTCTTCAATTTTCAGATTATATGTGTAAAGGTCCAAGTTTTAATTTGGTGGAGTATCCTGCTGTTAATGCTACAATTTTGAGTGGTTATTCCACTAAATGTAGTGAGTTAATTTTCAAATTTACATATTTTCTAACAATTTTGTGTCTGATGCCATTAGATGTAATCAATTGGTAGTGAATAATCCATGTTGCAAACAATCTGAACAAATATTTTTCTTTCCGTGTTTTGTGGGTACTCTTTTGATAGAGAGGTGTCTAAAATTTAGGTTTGAGCTAAGGGTGTGCAGAGTACTGTGAATGGGTTGTATTCGTTTTAAGATATTCGAAATAAGTTTGTTGGAACATAAATAATTTGCTAAACTAAATATATGCCCTTGCTTTATTTGTTATTTTCTTGTGAATTTATGTAATTGGATATATTTTTGACCAGAAAGAGCAGGATGAATTGACCAATACTCTTCCAATATCAGTGGTAATTCTTGTGGTTGGCCAAAGGCAAAAGAAATCGATCAAACGAGTGAAACCGATATATGAGTGATTCGATTAACCTAGAATTGTCGGTAAACTGTGTTTGTGCTAGGCTGTTGGTGTCATCGCCGCCGGTGAATTATGGACGAGAGACAAAGACACAAAAATTAAATTATATTAAGAAAGCTCTAATAGCTTCTCTGATTGGTTCACCTCCTATACAAGTCAAGTTACTGTTTAATTTTTCATGTACTTGTAGTTAGTTGTTTTCGTTTTGTTTCCTCTGTAATTTTTATTCCGAAACTTTAATATAATAAAATAATCAATCAGAAGAAATAAGAAAAATTTTATATGATGAAAAAAAAAGATTCCCGAAGAATTGCCTATGACACAGCGACTGATTAACTCTATGTTGGCTGGATCACCTAGAGCTATAATAGTAGTTAATTATGTTACCCTAATAAATAATCATTCAGTCAATCCTCACTCCAAAACAAGAATAAAAAACAATATCCCAAATGCAAATATTTTCCCACTAAAAAAAATAATTATTCCGTTATATGTATACGGAGAAATTAAATGTGCTGCACCCTGCAAGAGTGTACAATGGCAGTTAGCCGTGGGGCATAACACCGCACTCTCCCTTGTCCCATCAGTCCTCTCAATTTCCCACTTTGTGTTTGTTCTAGAATTTCTGACTACTTGTAGTTTACTTTGGGCAATAGTATTTCGCCCTTTTTGGGTGCAGAAAAAAGGCCAATCGTTTGTGCGTTCGCAAGGATAATGAGAAGAAATGAAAGGAAGAAGAAGATGATAGACGTGTTATCTTTGAGCATTAGTGCAAGTAGGGGTGAGTTCGGGACAGAATTTCGTGAATTCGGGATATAAATTTTAAATCTCAATCTCGTTCCATACTACTAAATCTCGGTATCTCTAAATATTTCGAGAATTCGAGATTGGGATCGGAAAATCACATATTTTACCTGTAAGAAACATTGCATTTTTTTTCTATTATTTTATACACTAATAACTTGAATATATTATATAGATACTATCGTTCTTACACTATTAATTTTTACAACGAAACTCGGAACATATAAATTTTAAAAAATTTAAAAATAAGTTGAAACGATATATTATATTATATATTTTATTCCTCCTCTCTTTGACACTATTTATAAATTATAGATGCAATCTACCATAGAAAAAAAGTTAAACAACCAATTTTTTTTTTTTCCGACACAAAAGTTAGAATACTTACGGGCACACCACAATTATTCAATGGAATGCAATAAACTACACCATGTAAATCTCGCAAAATTACTGACTTACCAACAAATACGATAGCAAAGAAGTAACGCAAGACAAGTTCCAAATAACCTGCAAGTTTATCACTAACGGCTTTCAACCAGTGATGCACAATACTCAAACAACAATGCAACTTGTAAATACATCAAAGAGATAAGATGTATACGCCACTTGTTGGAACCACAGCTGTAATTTGACGATTGATCACGAAACTTGTGGATTGAGGCTTGTACTCCATTTGTTCTCTAATTTTATATGTAACAAGTTGCTGCAATAAAAGCCACGATAATATGGAGATAGGCAAGGTGAGACGCGGACTAGGTCGCTCTCTTAAGACGAATTTCACAACCCCTTCTCTAATGAGGTGCAAAAAGGTTCCGATCGTGTCGCCTATGGGATACAACAGCCCAGCCTATCTCTCGGCTGTAACTTCACCGAAATTGCACGTTCAAGTGAAGCAGAAGCTTACACGCGACACACAACAAAAGCTCAAAGTATAAGTATATAGTATAGAAGAAAAGTATTTCTTTTATCTTCTCTTGTACTCTCTTCTCTCCTCTCTTTACAAAACTACAAAAGTCCCCTTTATATAGTATAAAATATAAGCACCATAAAACCTCTATTTAATATAGAATTAAAGGAAATTATGGAGGTTTTATGAGGCAAAATAAAGTCTTTGTAGGTTTCAAAATGTTGGTCCAAACGAGAGGGAATGCTCTAGCGGAAGAAGAGAAGAATTGCCGTCTCCGAAGAACTGCCGCCGCCCAACCGCGGGTGCTTGAAAAGGAAGAGAAGAAGAAGATGGAGGAAGGAGGAAGGAGAAAGGAGGAGAAGGAGGAGGAAAAGAAGAAGAAGAAGAGCATGAAGAAAAATAAAAAGATTAGGAAGAGCATGAAGAAGAAGAAGAAGAAGAAGAAGAAGAAGAAGAAGAAGAAGAAGAAGAAGAAGAAGAAGAAGAAGAAGAAGAAGAAGAAGAAGAAGAAGAAGAAGAAGAAGAAGAAGAAGAAGATTCGCCCTGTACATGTTGATTTTTGGTGAAAATTTGACATTTAGATGTTTTTTTTTTGGCAAAACATCTGGATGTTGATTTTTTGGTGAAAAATTGACATCTAGAGGTTATGTCATTTTTTTTTGCTAAAAATCAACATCTAAATGTCGAATTTTGTGACAAAAATCGACATGTATATGTCGAATTTTGACCGCGAGAATTTTCTTTTTGTAAACTTAAAAATCGATCACCTAACTATAAAAATACACTCATTGATAGTTTGTTTTCAAAATTTTCTATAGAATTCTCCATATTGATGCATCGTGACTCCATAATGTTATAATTTGCATCTTTTAATAAGATTTGATGGTTTTGGCTGTTGAGGATTTTTTGAGAAGATGAAGAATTATTTTTTGAAGAATTAGTGTGAAATGGGTTTGTGAGGAAGATAAAATGGGTTTTGCTTGTGTGGTCTTGCACAAAGGAAGTTGTGGAATTTTGTAATTGTAGATTTTGCATTTTAATAAGGGTATAATAGTCTTTTAATAATTCATTTGGTGAAAAATTAGATTTGGTCTTCCCCTAAAGTAAGTTTTGCGATTGCATACAATCGCCGCCATAAATGTAATATAAATTAGTGTTTACACATAAATATCTCCAATTAATGTTTATATGTAAATTGTTATTTTGGAAATTTAGGGAACAATTCTCCCATCTTTCTCTCCCCCTTCTCACACACGGTCACACCTCTTTCTGCTCCCCCCTAGCCCCACAAAGGCCTCTCTCTTTCTCTTCCCTCATGCCTCTTTCTCTCTCTCAAGATACTAGCTAATGCAAAAATTAATTCTTCATTTCTTGTAAAAAAAAAAAAAACTATGATTTTCATTCCATAATCATCTTATAACAATAATTATCAACTTTCTTGAGAGCATATATGTTGGATTTTAATTGTTATTTCGACGATATTGCATTTTTTTCAAAAAAAAAAAAAAAAAAAAAAAAAAAAAACTTTCAACATAAAATAGGAAACTGCAAATCACAACTTATAATTGAAAATTAAATTATAAAATTATTATACGACATGTAACAGCAATTTAAAAACAACCAATCGATAATTGTAATGGTTTAAGTTTGCTGATGGGGTAATATATTTACAAGAAATTGAATTAACCTCATCAAAAGTTAAAATAACTTCAAACAACAAAATGAATGTGAATTATGAAACAATTATTTTTGTCTGACGCTATAGAGGACCTTTTTCATGTTAGCAACATCAACTAAAAATGGATCATCTTTCTCGCTTTTCTTGATAAATAGGAGTGGAAACGGTCTCGCGAACTTAAATATTTATCACACACAAGGAGTGTCCAGTGCGAAAGCTTGGCAATAGGATATTCACCTGCAGCGGGAAAATAATGTAACGAAAAAAATCGCTCATATTATTCCACACCATGAACTTTTTTACCATTGACATTAATTTTCACGGACGTCGTTTGTATGCATTTAATATTCCATTTATTTTCTTCGATATTGTTGAACAATCATATGATGACTTATTCCTTTTCTTTTGCAGTTGTTGAACGTTAAACCAATAAAAAAAAAGGGATAATTTGACAAAACTCCATCATTATATTACACAAGTGTCA